CTGTATGGAAAGTGAATTTGCTCTGTAAATCTTCACCCAAATTACAATAAAAAAAAAAAAAATTAAAAAAAATATAGACTTGATATTTGAGTTTCAGATTTACAGAAAAGTTGAGAAGACAGTATATATCTCATATACTCGCCTCACAAGTTCCCTGTTATTAACATATTATATTAGTATTATAGTACATATGCAATCAATGAACCAATGTTATCAGTATGGACTGAATTGTGTGCCCCTAAAAGATGAGTTATAAATCCAAAGCCCCATACCTGTGGTAACCAAAAACTAAACCACTGCCATTGAGTCTATTCATACAGAGTAGAACTGCCCACAGGTTTTTCCTATGCTGTAGTCTTTATGGAAGCAGACTACTACATCTACTTCCTACAGAGCAGCTGGTGGGTTCAAACTGTTGACCTTCCAGTTAGCAGCTGAGCACTTAACCACTGCACTGCCAGGACTCCTACAGGGGCACTGTAAGTCAAAATCAACTTGATGGCAATGGGTTTGGTTTTTTTTGGTATGTTGCTGTTAGCTGCTGACAAGTCACTTCTGACTTACAGTGACCCTATGTACAACAGAAAGAAACCCTGCCCAATTCTGCACCATCCTCATAATCATTGCTATACCATATTTTTTGGTACACCTGTGGTTATAATTCTATTTATGAATGGGTTTTGTTATATTATTGAATATTAGTATAGGGTGCATCTGAAGGCAACCTCTTGAGATATAAAAGAGATTAAACAAGTGAGCGAGAAGCAGATGGAAGAAAACAGATGCTCAGCCACATGAATATCGTCCAGGAACAGAAGCTCTAAAGAAATAAAGATCTTCTAGCATCAACAGAAAGCTTTCTCCTAGAAATGGTACCCTGAATTCAGACTTCTGGCCTCCTGTGAGAAAATGAATTTGTTTGTTAAAGCTACCTAATTGTGGTATTTCTGCTATAGCAGTACTAGATAACTAAGATGATGAGTATTAACTAAAGTCCATAGTCATTCAGAATGCCTTTGTTTTTACCTAATTTTTTCTGTTCTAGAATCCCACGTTCCATTTACTTCTCATGTCTCTTTAGGCTCCTCTAGACTACTCTCAGTTTCTCACACTTTCCTTGTTTTTGATGATCTTGACAGTTTTGAGGAGTTCTAGTCAGGTATACTGTAGGATGAAGCTCTCTTGTAACTTGTCTGATGTTTTTCTCATGATTAGACTACAGTTACCAGTTTTTGAAAGGAAGACCAGGTGAATAAAGGCCGTTTTCATGACATCATATCAAGGACTGTATTATCAACATGATGCATCACTGCTGATAATGACTTTCATCAGCTGGCTAAAATGGTGTTTCTCAGCTTTCTCCATTGTAAAGCTAATCCTTTCCCTTTTTCCGTTCTGTGTACTCTTCAGAAGAAAGTCCTTATATGCAGCAATACTTTAGGAGTAGGTATTTGTACTTCCTTAAACATTTTCTCATGTGCTTATTGGCCATCTGTATGTCCTATTTGGTGAAATGGCTCTTTGTGCCTCTTCCATTTTATAATTAGATTTATTTTCACTGTTGAGTTTTGAGAATTCTTTATATAGTCTAGATATGAGTAGTTTATTAGATAGGTGGTTTGCAAATATTTTCTCTCAGTCTGAAACTTGTCTTTTCATCCATTTTTGAAATTAACATTTTATACAAGTCCTGAACACGTTTTGCTAGATTTCTATTGAAGTAAAATATTTTTGTTTTAGGTGTCATGGTGGTGCAGTGGTTAAGTGCTCAACTGCTAACTGAAAAATCAGTAGTTCAAACCCACTAGTGCACTCTATGAGAGACAGATGTGGCAGTATGCTTCTGTAAAGATTTTCCTTGGAGCAGTTCTACTCTGTCCTATAGGGTTACTATGAGTTTCAACTGACTTGATAGCAAGGGGTTTGCTTTGGTTTATATATTTAGGACCCTTAAGTTATCCTCTGATTCATGGATTATTTATAAACCTGTTTAATTTCCATGTGTTTGGAGGTTTTCCCACTATCTTTCTGTCATAATCACATTATGGAAAATACGCTAGGATATGAATTCTTTTAAAATTTGTTTAGGTCTGTTTTATGATTTATCCTATCTTTATGGTCTATCTTTGTAAGTTCCATGGATGATCGAAAGAATGTGAATTCTGCTGTTGGGTGGAATGTTCTATAAATGTCAATTAGATCTTGTTGTAAGTTTATGGTGGGTGTTCACTTCTCTTTGCTGATTTTCTGTTGAGAAGTCCTATCAATTGCTGAAAATGGAGTGTTGATGCCACAACTATAACTATGTACTTCTCTATTTGTCCTTTCAGCTCTATTTTTGTTTTCTTTATTCTGAAGTTGTTTTCTAGTTGCCTACAACACATGCAGGATCATTATATTTTTCTAGCCAAGCAAGCCTTTTATGTAATGTCTTCCTTTGTGGTTAGTAATTTTCTTTGCTCTGAAGTCAACTTTTTCTGATATTACTATAACTATCTTTTAGGATTAATGTTTGTATGGTATATATTTTTCCATCCTTTTACTATCTGTCTACCTATGTCATTGTATTTGAAGTCAGGATCTTGCAGACAGCATATAGTTGGGTCATGTTTTTTCATTCACTCTGCTTTGTCTTTCACTAAGTATACTGAGACCATTTGTATTTAAAGTAATGATTGATAATGTTAGGACTTATGTATGCCTTGTTATTTTGTGTTTTCTGTACGTAACCCGTGCTTCTCATTCCTTTTCTTCTTTTCTTGTCTTCCTCTGGGTTATCTAACATTATTTCCACAGCTGTCCAAATCATCTTTCTCTAACACCCAACCTGGGAGCTCTGGTAGCATAGTGCTTAAGGCACTTGACTCCTAACCAGAAGGGTGGTGGTTCAAACCCACCAGCCACTCCTCGGAAGGAAGATGGGGCAATCTACTTCCATGTAATACTGCCTCAGAAACCCAAGAAGGGGTCGCTATGAGTCAGGTCTGACTCGACGGCAGACAACACCACCACCACCACCACCCAACCCAGGACAATGCACCCACCTACTCTATGGAGATACAACCCTTGGAGCAATCAGCCATGAGCACCAGAGGGGCAGCGTTCACATGGAGGGAAAGCTGGACAGGCAAGAGTGCGTAAATAAGAAGGGCACAGGGATGGGGGGGTGTCACAGGAAAGGGAGAGGAGGAGAGTAGCTTAGGGTTGGGGGATGGTCATTGGGGAGTGAAACCAAATGTACATGAACTGTTGAATGGAAAAAAAATTCTGCTCTGTAAATCTGCACAATTAAAAAAAAAATTTTTTTCCTCTAGACAGTTTTTGAATAAAGTCCCAATAAGCATTAAGAATCCATTAGTATGGTTTAAAATGCTACCAAGCACATTCTGAATATTTTACTTCAACAAATGAATTTTTTTAAAAAATTGTGATTTGGGTGAAAACTTTACAGAGCCAATTGGTTTCCCATTTAACAATCTATACACATTCTTTTTTGTGACATTTACTACAATCCTCACACTGTCACAGTATTTGTCCCACTTCTTCCTTGTGCCTACCCCCCTTCCCTTTAAGCCCTTCTGCTCCATCCCTGGCCAAATGCTGTTCTCTTGATCTCTTATGCTAGCTTGTTCTAATGAGCACAAACTCTCCTGATATTACTATTTTCCTTTTAGGGCTGTCTGCTGTTTAGCGGCCAGTTGAGTCATGAGGGTTAAAATTTAATTCCTAGATTGAAAAGTGTCTAAGGACCATAGTCTCAGGGGTTCCACCAGCCTTCACCAGACCAGTAAGACTGTGGGTTTTTTTTTTTTTTTTTCATTTTGAGTTTTGTTCCACATTTTCCCTACTCTATCTGGGACAGAGGTATGCTCTACCACATTCATGGATATATGTGAAGCATATATAAATACACAAGTAGAGAGAGCCTTTGTCAAACATCAAATATAGAATTCTTAGTAGTACAAAAAGATGTCCAGTGACTCACATCCTGCTTCCACCAAAGATCACCATTCTAAATTCTAGAACTCATATCCTATCTTTGAACCTCAGAGAATACTTGAGGAAGAACACCTGGGAAGTTCAGTTACTTTGTTATTTCCATTCAGAGACTGAACTGTTGGTACCTTCACCCCTGCATATAGATATCAGTTAGTTAACTCATCCAAATCTGACTCATCTTGAGGCTTTAAGGACACTCTCAGAGAAATTTCAAAGTCAAATTTACATGAAGGAATAAAGATGTGACCAATTCTCTGAAAATTCACATCCTCTCTGCACTCATTATATTTGGGAACAAATGACAAAGTCTATTATAAGAAATACATGCAGAGTATTTTCAAGGTATTATCAACTATTTTTATTATAAGTAAGAGTATTAAGACTGTTATCCTCAGGTTCAACAACAATAAAGCTTTTATTTAGGGCTTGCCACAGATCAAATAAGAACTTTGCATATATGGTAAATAAAAGGTCCTCTTGGAAAGTGTATTTCCTGGAGTTTAAGACACATGCACGTTTTAGCATCCCAGGCACTACTGAAGGAGCGAACACTGGTGGCACAATGGTTAACTGCTTGGCTGTCAATCTCAAGGTCAGCAGTTCAAATCCACCAGTGACTCTACGGGAGAAAAGACCTGGCTATCTGCTCCTCTAAAGAATACAGCCTAGGAAAGCCTACAGGGCAGTTCTACGCTGTCCTTTAGGGTTGTTGTGAGTTTGAAATGACTTGAAGGCACAAAAAAACAGGCACCATTGTGAGCTCTGTCAAAAAACAATCTAGTATAGTTCTTCTACAATTACTCTGGGAGTTAAGTAGGTCATGCTTTTATCACCTGGCAATCTATTAACACATCAACTTTACTAAAATCAAGGTTGCTACTTATCCATTAGATTTAATTTTCAATAAAGTGCATAGAGCTTTTTGGGAAAAAGAATAATTTTCCAAATTTTATACTCAAGTATTTCACCTAAGTTGAACACTTAGGCCTTGAGATTTTATAAAAACTATGATTTGGAAATTGAAACCTATGAAACTGTCTTTCTTTTCTACTGTGATTCTAATATAGCCAGGTGTTACCAATTTCATGCATTAACATTGGTTTATTTATTTTTTTTTGGAAACTAACCTTTGACCCGGACATCACTATACCGCTGAAAGTGGTGGTAAGCAGCTTTCCAAGGATTCCGATAGTGACGAAGCAATGTAATAGGAGGTCTTGGACGCACTGGGACATACCTCACACCTTCCTCATCTATTCAAAAGGCAAGAAAAATAAGATATTAAGTAGTTTATCATAAATTTCCAACTAGCTCCCAGGTGAAATTCCAATTATGTGATTCATAAGTCTGGCTTGTGTAATGTAACTATGCGAAGAAGCTCAGGGACTGACCCGGCTAAAGTGCGAAAGCCTTCAAGAACAATAATTAATTAGCCCAAATGACCATTACCGATATATTCTTTGGGAGGGGACTTGCGCTTTTCAGCCTTCACCAGAAGAGTCTTGGCAGTAGATTTCTCATCGTCAGTGCTATTTGTCTCCATCATATCACCTTCTTCTGTTGAGATCACATGCTGTTGCTTTCGAGGCTTTTTCCTTGGGGAAGCACCAGGTGGTAGGTCACTTGTAGCCATGGATAGGTTGTTAGCCAGCAATGCAAGAGATGGAGACACAGTGTTGGTAGCCAGTGGAGGAACTGCTATTAAAGGAAAATGAACAAACATATCTATGAGAATTTAAGCATAATGGAAAACTCCACTTGATTCCTAGGAGTAAGAACAATTAAGGAAATAGTACAGATAGCTAACATTTATCGAGTCTTGCTATGCACCTGGCACTGTACTAAGCACTCTAATTGTGGCAGAGACTGCCAATTGTATTCCAGTATACAATTCTTCATCTTCCTTAGTATTACCGGCAGCCAATGAGTTCATGTCAACTCATGGTGATCCTACATGGGTCAGAGTAGAACTGTGCTCCATAGGGTTTTCAATGGTTGACTTTTTGGAACTAGATCTCTAGGCTTTTCTTCTGAGGTACCTCTGGGTAGAATGAAACCTCCAACCTTTCAGTTAGCAGTTGAGAGCTTAACCACTGTTGCCACTCAGGGATGGTATCCTCAGTACTAAGACCTTCTTTCTTAGAGGGCCACATTGCCATGCAGCTATAGTATTGTATCTCCTTACAGGCAGGTATGGCCATGAGATGCAAGTGGAAGTGTTTTGTTTTTTGTTTTACAAATTCATTTTTTTAAAATTAATTAATTTTTTATTGTGATTTGGGTGAAAATTTATCGAGCAAATTCACTTTCCCTACAGCAATTCACATACTTTTTCTCATGACATTAACCACAATTTACTTCAAAGTAACAGCTCCCCTCCCACTTCCTCCCAATAATTTCCTCTTCCCTGTGTCCATCCCTCCAAGCCCTCTTGCCCCCTGAGCTGTCCCCCGGTACATAAGCAGCCCTTCTTTCCCCATGACTGTTCTCTCCAAGGAGTGTATCTACCTCAGGTAAATGTTCCACTCATATGCCTGTCTTTTACTGGGCTGGAAGCCACAGGAGTGGGTTCAATTCCAGACCTGAAGGGCAGCTAGGGGCCACAGTCTCAGTGGTTCCACCAGGCTCTATCTGACCAGCAAACCTGGTCTGCCTCCCCCCCTTTTTTATTTTATCCAAATGATTTTAAGTTTTGTCCACATTGTTCTCTCTGTCCAGGATTTCCTACATAGATCCCCCTCCAAGTGGTTGACTTTGGTAGCCAGGCACCATCTAGTTCTTCTGGTCTCACAGACGTATAGGCTGCAGATTGGATGGTGTACCAGTCGCTAGGACTGATTGTATCCATGAATTTTTGGTTTTCTTCATTCTTCTTTGCTGTGGACGAGGAGAGACCCATCATTGCATCTAGATGAGTGCTTGTAAGCTTTTAAGATCCCAGTTGCTACTCGCCAAAGTAGGAGATGGAACAATGTTTTGTGTAGTATGCTATGCCAATTGAGCTTGATGTTCCCTGTGATTACGGTCACGAGCCCACAAGTTCAACTACTCGGTCCCTCTGAGTAGCTGGCTGTGACCAAGCAATGACTACCACCTTGCCTCTTGTCAGCTCTACTATACACCTGGGAATTCAGATCATATACATAAACGTATAGGACCGCTGTCTGTCAACCCTACACATGTTATTGGGTACACTCCCCACTTCACAGACATACCTACTAGTTCAGGCTGTCCACCCATCTATCCACCCATATATCCATGTTTGACTTCACTAACAACACAGTACTGTATGTGTAAAAGGGTTCATCTTTGTTGTCTATACCTCCTATGTACCTCTCTATGTCCTTCTCTTCCCCAGTGCACCATACTGGTCACTCACATTTGGTACACTGCCCTTCTCTTCACTCAAATCAATACTTATCTCTATCTATCTAACAATGTTCCCTACCCTCCCATCCCAACCCTGGTAACCAACAAAGAAAATTTCCTTCCATAGATAAACCTTTCCTTGACTTTTACAGTAACGGACTAATACAATGTATTTCTCCTTTTATGACTGACTTATTTCACTCAGCATAATGTCCTCCAAGTTCATCCACATTATGTGGTGTTTTGCAGATTCCACGTTATTCTTTAGCGTTGCATAGTATTCCATTGTGGGTATGTACCATAGTTTGGTTATCCATTCCTCAGTTGATGGACACTTACGCTATTTCCATCTTTTGACTATTGTAAATAGTGCTGTGATGAACATGGGTGTGCCCATGTCTGTTCTTGTCATGGCTCTCAGTTCTTTCGGATATATACCTAGTAAAGGAATGGCTGGGTCAAATGGTATTTCTAATTCCAACTTTTGAAGGAATCGCCATAATGTTTTCCACAAATGGTTGTACCGTTTTACAGTCCCAACAGCACTGTGTGAGAGTCCCAATCTCCACATCCTCACCAGCATTTATTATTTTCTGTCTTGATGAACTTTGCTACTAGTGCTGGAGCAAGATGATATCTCATTGTTATTTTGATTTGCATCTCTCTACTAGCTAATGATCGAGAGCATTTCTTCATAAGTTTGTTGGTCGCTTGAATATCGACCTATAGTCAGCTGATCTTTGACTATTCATGTCTTCTGCCCATTATTTAATTTGATTGTTTGTCTTTTTGTTATTGAGGTGTTGGAGTTTTCTATAAATTCTAGAGATAAGTCCCTTGTCAGATA